AGTCCAATGATTGAGAATGAGATGTATAATGTATCGTTTGACAGAACGTGCTCTCCCGCTCGAATTCAAAAAACTAAAGGAGAGGTTGGCCAAATTCATCCATGTGTCATGGTATCTGTTCAATTATTCTCTCAGAAAAGACCATGCAATATCTAAAATATCAAACAGAAGGTGCTTTCCAAAGTTCCCGTATGTCATGTACCAATGGAAGATGTAAAGCTACGTAAAAGCCATACTTACGTAAGATAAAAGGGTTTTCTTTAAATGTTAAACATAAAACTCGAAGTAATATGCTTTCTTCCCATCCGTTGTCTTTACTAATTTTACAGAGTTGGATAATTCTAGTTTTAAAAGCAGTGTACTCTGTACAATTCCTATAAATTCTCAGTATTTCTGATTTGAAAGTGTTGAAAATAATGTATCTAGGTACGTTTGAAGCCCACTTTGGATACCTCAAGACATCAAAATCATATGCATCTGTTTTATTATATAGACTAAGCTTTACTGAATTATCTACTATATGAACACTGAGATCCAAAAAATTAGTTTCGGTATCGCTAGCATTAGTCTTCTCTATCACTAATTCCTTATGGTAAATCTCCTTTAGAGCCTCCTCAAACTCTTTGATTTCTTTCGAGATATGTAGAATATCATCAATGTATCTGTATGTGTTGTTGAAAGCGTATTTATTTGTGACGTTACTACTTATGGCTCGCCTCCTCATATATTCAAATTCCATGTAGGCTAAAGTCAAATCTGCCATTTGAGGGCTGCACGATGCCCCTTGTGGAATGCCTCTCTCCTGTTTATAAATTATACCTGCGAAGCTCAAGTAACTGTTATCGAGAAGCATATCTATCATGTATAATAAGTCTTCTCTCTGAAAGTATTTTCCTTTGGCTGTAGTCGTGTTTGTGTATGTCGCTGTATAATTTTCTACTCTTATATATCTGTATCCTCTCATACATAGTTCTATAAGCTTCGTCAAATTCTTTCTTACCACTGTATGTGGTAGGCTTGTAAAGAGGCTGGAAAAATCTGCTGAGAAGATTCTCCTTTCTCCATCCATGCCGTTAATTTCTTTTATAATATTTGTGTTGTTACTTATTGCCCAAAAATGTTTTATTTTGCTTCTATGGAAAATCACATTGCAATAATTCATGAAATGCTTTCTTATATGACTCAATATAATTGTCAAAAGCTTAGTCAATGGCTTTAAGGTACTGTTTTTGGCTCCTGTTATATATCTGAATTTGACAGGTGTCTTATGCATTTTAGGAATTCCATAGATTCTCGGTATTTCATTGAATGCGGGAAAATCTTTAATGTTTAATCCATTCAAGATACTTCGATGTATCGTTCTGACTTGTTCTATTTGCAGCGTTGTATTTACATAAGTTTTGGCGTTGTTATCCTCCTGTTGTAGTTCTTTCTGTATCATCATCAAATATAATTTTTTACAAGTGAAAGCAAAATTAGAGCTTGCTTTATCTATTGGAGTAACTACGTAATGTTTATGCAATTCATTTAAATCTTCTTGTTTATATTGGTCTTCTATCATTTCTCTCTGCTCCATAATGCTATATAGTTTAGGTGTCGTCTTGTTGATAATATGTTCATTGAAACGTCTTTTTAAGATTATTTCTACACTATTATCTGCCTTAAACACCCTTCGAAACATGTGTGCCATATTGCTAGCTAGCTCCTCTAACAATGTAAGTATGTCTTGTTTGCATATGAAAGAATGCGTTCTATATTTGTACCCTTTACTAAATAGCTTTCTAAGTTCTTCATTTTTAATGAAGTGTGTATCTCCCGTACATATGTGTCCTAAATCCCTGTTTATGTATTCTATGTGCTTGTTACACTCACATTCCTTGTGTAATATATCATCAACATTATTGATATTAATATTCTTAAGGAATCTATTGTAATTACACAAGTAAATTCCTACAGGATGTTTCAGCTTATATCTAACTGCTACTCTTAGCCCTTGTAGTTCTTCTTTCCTTTCCGGTATGGCTGTACTTACAGCTTCCTTTATCTCTCTACCATTGCATATACTATTTAGTTTCAATTTGTCTATAATGCTTCCTAAATATGGAACTGTTATATACAGATATTTATGATTCTCAGTTTTATAGGGTTTTCGATTCCAAAATGGCCTTGCAACAAGTGCATAGATTTTAAGTTTCAAATCGTAATCGTAACTGTTGAATTGGTTATCAAAGGTTACATCAATTAGTCTATCTATATCTTGTTTGTTCAATGTACGGAAGTATTTATACAATTCATATGTTTGCAACTCACTTATGTTGCGTAGTATTTCATTTGTTCTGTTAGGGCATAATGCTTTTCTCTTTGCTCTTCTCTTCTTTCCTCTGTATCTCTTTACTTGTATGGGACATTGAAAGTAGGGGTGTTCCTTCTTTTCCAAAGGATTGATGAAATCTGAGATGTTACCATAACCTTTTATCTGATCGTTGAAACCGAACGGATATGCTGTGATCATGTATTTAATCCACTGCAGCTCTTTTTCTCTCAACTTCTTCTTGCTATCTTCTACATTACCAACATGGTCCAATATATCCACGGATATCTCTGATGTACTATGTCCAGTGGATCTGAAGTGCTCAACCATGTATGTTTTCAATGTTAGTTTACGTATACTTCTAATGTGTTGGTTTATACGTTGCCTTAGAGTTTGTTTGGTCTCCCCTATGTACTGTTGTCCACAAGTCAGACATGTTGTCATATACACAACGTTTTTGGAGTCACAGTTGGATGTGTCTGTTTTGTTAGTTTTGAAATAAAAATTAGTAGTAGAACTTTTTACCTTATTCTGAAAATTTATCTTATCGCATAAAGAGCATTTCTTTCTACCACATCTCCTTCCTGTGTTATTGGTATACTCTGGTATGTTTACTGTCTTATTTCGATTGCCTATTCTTGTGTTTGGGGACGAGGACAACATTAAACACGAATTCTCATTAGAATTGTTATTAGTGGCGGACCTCAATCCATTGAGTCAGAGGCGGTCCTTCCTGGACTCTTATGCGGTTTCCTTATCAGAGGGTATTTCCTCCTTGGCTAGGGCAAGCCTCTTCATCGCAGGGGAGCGCTACCCGTGGTGTAAACCGCATTGGATTTCTGATGCCCAACACCACGCCAGGGTTCTCCCGAACAGATAATTTAATACTTATTTAGATATTTCCTATTAGCACAGCGATAATATAATATCTATCGTTTTACTATACTGTATTTTGAGTCGTATTAATGTTCTTCTATTTACGTAATAGCACAACATATATTAAATTTGTATAAGTTGTGTCCACTATTTGTTAGCATTGTAGCTAGATGTTAGATATTGTTTGTCAATCTAATGTTCATGTGTGCATATGTATATATGTTTGTATGTTATATGTTTGTATGTTATGTTATGTGTTATGTTATGTGTTATGTGTACATGTATGTATGTTAATATGTATCTGTATTCGTGTATGTATGTGTCTATGTATTCTAATATCTATTTATGAGTAATCTATGTACGTGTGTATAGTGAGTAAGTGTATGTGTAGCTTTTTAAATTGTTATTGTTTTTATTTTTATTTTTTATTTTTTATTTTTTTTTTATTTTTTTTTTTTTATTTTTTTTTTATTTTTTATTTTTTTTTATTTTTATTTTTTTATTGTTTTTGTTCTTGCTGTTATTTGTGTTTGTACTTGCATGCATACGTGTGCCTTACTGCTATAATTAATATGTTAAAAAGTATGGACGTATTGTAAGCACGTGTGTACTTAATATGTAGGTGTATGTGTGTGCCCTTATATTTGTATGTCTTTGTATGCATGTTTGTACTTTCAATTTATGTATAAGTGACCATATCTAGGTGTATTTGTATTTTTTGTATTTTTGTATTTTTTGTATTTTTTGTATTTTTTTTTTTTTTTTTTGTATGTACATATCATGTGTTAATTATCCATTAATTATCCCTTATCCCCTATATCTTTGTGTTATAGTTGTATTTTTTATTTTACTTTACTTTATTTTATTTTATATTATTTATTTATTTATTTATTTTATTTATTTTTTATTTATTTATTTATTTATTTATTTATTTATTTATTTATTTTTATATTTTATTTTATTTTATTTTATTTTATTTTTTGTTATTGTTGTCTACTTTTATATCATTTATTGATTTTAGTATATTCATTTCTTATATGTAATGGAACACGGACCTCTCTATAAATTCTTTGATCGAATGTATAGTGGTAGGCTTAGTTTGTGTGACTATCGTAAAACTAATTTGACGAAGCTCGACAGTTGTACCACTAAAGGCCTTATGCCTCCTCTAGCTCTTAATGCATAGAGGGTGGACAACATTAAACTTAGTTCTTAATTTGTGAGGGCAGTGTATTATAAGACGGTCATGTTATACTAGGGCTTGATTGCCACACTCGCATCCTATATAAAAGCTTGTTTGAATTTTTGAAGAATAAGGAAGGCTGCCAATGGGTTTCGGTAACAACTCATGTCTCAAATAGAACTAGATACTATTTTCACAAATTAATTTAGGGCAAAATGAGCACGGAATGATATGCTTTATCTGTTGTCCACTACAGGCCTTATGCCTACTCCAGCTCTTAATGCATGGAGATTGGACAACATCTATTGATTTTAAGAAGAGAGGAAAATGTGGCGCCAATTTGCAGATCACCTTACTTTTACTTAATTCTGTCCATTCCTTGCTGTATGGGCTAAATAACTAAGTGTAAAAGATTAGTTAACTCTTAAGGCTATCATGTAGTTACAAGATTTTGGTATATGCGGAAAGAACAGAACATTCAAATATTTGAATTATACTGATGATCTTCCATTGGTCATGTCGGAAACTCAGGATCCCTCCCGCCCACGGTTGATTTTCAGCGCGCCACAGTGCCTTACATGCTTGTCCCTGCAGTATAAAAAGAGCCTAACCTCAAGTAACTAGATCATCATGTCTTCTTCTACCGATCTTGCTGCTACTATGCGTTCTATTTTGGACGGCGACCACCAGCTCAGCGCTGAGTTGAGTACTGCTTTAGTATCCCTGGGCTCAGCAGTCAATCAACTAAGGATCCAGCAGGATGCCACCGTCAAGGAACTTGAACTGGTACGCAGAATGTGCCGTACCAGTTGGCTGTTGGTAAGTTAAGCTAACTATGTTAATGTACTGCTTATATGAGACAGTTTTTAGGTAATTAATTTACCGCTACCATTTGGGCAGTCTAAGAGTCAATCTTTGCAACTTTTATTCGAAAAGATCGGGTACTCGAAACCCCTTTTCGATGCAGAAAGGGATCTCATAGCCGCGGATATCTTATACGTGAACAAGAACGGTTCTTGTAATATGGCAGTAAGTTCTAATCTTCAAATAAAAACAATAAGAGTATATTTGGCTTTTCAGTTTTTTGTACCTCAACGTCATCACGATTACTTGATGAGCGCGGATTTTCAGCGTAAAATCGTTGCCTACAACCAAAAAATTGCTAGAGGTATGTGCCCTAAAAACTCTAGTACCACTTAGAATGGAGATGAAAGAATTTGGTAGTTGGATTTGAAATCAAATGAATGTAGTCTATACAATCAACTATAGCTTCAAAATGTTGCATTGCCTTAAAACTATAATACACAACTATTTGTTAGAATAGCGTACTTGAGTTAGGCAAAATCAATAAGAACTGAATTGAGACAGAAAGTTACTATCTACAGGAAATGTATGAAAGTTCAATAGGAAAATGAATAACCGTAGGTAACCATAAATTAGTGCTAATGATATAAAAATATTCTATCAAAGTACTTGCGAACCCACCATTTAGTTATTCACTATCCTCCTTTTTGTCCAAACTTGGTTTGACTTCATTCAGTGTGCTATTCTTTAGTACTTTTCCTGTATCCTGCAACCAAGTCAAATTGTCATCATGCAACAATGTAGGTTCTATCAATCCGAGCACAGTTCAAATATTTCCACGGTAAGCATTGGCTAGCTTCAAAGTCATGTTTACCTTTAGCCTATTATAGAGAATACATTTGAGTGGCAGTAGATAGTAATAGACATGAAGTAAACACATCCGTACTACCGAATGCGTTTCCGTGTAGAGTATCTATGCTACTTAGCTAGGTCTATAAACTTGCCCACTTGATTCCGTGTTCTGCTGTACCTATTTGTGATATTACTTTCGGAAGTACGAACTTCAACATCAATACTCATGATGTATAGAACATGTGCTAAAGAATTGACCTAGCACAAGGTTTGTTCTAGTAGGAAGGCAAAACTATCCAAAGTAAGAGCTAGTGCACAAAAACTTTCAAAAGGCTTAGGTTTTCTATTAGTCGTAAGTTTCGATGTGTCTATATGTGTGACTGCACAAATTAGCAGGACAGCTATATTTTAACGAAGTAGCTGGTGTGGAGTTTATAGCAGTGGACACTTTCAGCTATGTGGAATGTTTTATCTAAAAAGCAAAAGAACTATGAAGTTTGTACTTAGTTACCAAAACATTCACCAATTAGATTCCACTTGATTATATTCATTTCGTCTGATTACAGGCACACAACTTGTTGAAAGGGTTAGTCTAAGCACCAGCAAACATAGCAAAAGAAAATACGAAACTTACTAGAAAAAGGACCTATCACATTAACTTTTTGAAAGTCTAGGCGATTAAACTGTCGTAAAACTCCATGTGTCTATCTCTAGCGCTAGACACTCCTGAGGCAATCAGTGATTCGAGTCATCTACATCCATAGTAACACAAAGAGATTGCGAAATCATGACCTAATATGAATTCACTCTGTCATGCTTAGTTGCGATGTATGAGTACGTAAATGACATATATAAGAGTACAAACAATGTGAGCACTGAGCAGTGCCTGCTCCAAATTACCAAATTCCAAAAAGATGCCCAAATTTAGGCCAACTGTTTCGTGAGTCTCACGCCGTGAAATTGCATGTGTCTCTATTACGTAATCACACAATGTCATTTACTTACGTCTCAAATTTGGGCCCAATAGTTTAGCGAGTCTCAGCTCGTCAAATCGCATGTGTCTATATTTCGCAAATGCACAATGTCATTGATTTACTTCACTTTTTTAAAAAATGTAGCAATTTCGCAACTCATGATTCTTTGAACCAAAACAAACGCATGATGACATTTGACGTCATGTAAAACAAACTTTCAGAGCATTTTTCAACCATGATACGGAAAGGAAACTTTGTAGAAGTCCATATATCTAGTTTCAGCGAGACTCCTGTAGACCTACTACAAACAAATCTAAACCTATAAGATGGTAAAGATGGTGAACATAAGTGAGAGAGAGGGAGAAAGAGAGAGAGCGCCATTAATGCTATGTCTACATAAAGTAAAGAAAGGTACAATACATTTGGCTTAGTTTGTGAAGTTTTTACATTCTTGTTAGTGTGTTGCAACAAATGTTACGTAAATGCACAAATTGCGTCAAATAGTCTAATTGACGTGATTTATACGATTTTAGCAGAAACAATCTTTGTTTTCGTCAAGTACAACCTTAATGTTCTTATTCTGATGTATTAGCATTATAGATCTGAAGTAGAGGGTAAGTAGATGTAGCAAAGATATCAAAAATGCGCTGTTATCTTCCCTATTTATTTTCTGTACTTCCGTGAATTGGACTTAGAAGATTCCTACTATTATTTAGATGTAGCAAAGATAGCGAGATATGCTGATAGCTTCCTTCTCGTCTATACTTTCTTGAATTCATCTAGGATGATTGCCTTTTCTATCTAGATTTCTTGCCAAGTTATATTAGAAAGATCCAGTACGAATTCAATATTTCTTGTAATTTATTGTAACTTGAAGTTAATTTTTGATAAAGACGAGAAGTTACTATAACTGTGGCTCCACTTCTCATATCAAGCCTAGAAATAAAACATAATGATGTCGATAAGCTTGTATATTAACTCGATCTAGACTTGTTATCCTGTGAGCAGTAGACCATACCAAAAGGTGCATATGACTGTGTTTCCAGAGAGTTGGGTCACCGTCGGAAGGGTGCTCACACCCAAAGAGCGACAGGATTATGAGATGGCTTGTTCTCTTAAACGTCTCATCATTGCTCAAATGATGGAGAAAAGGAGGGCCGACCCCAAATATAACGTGCAATTCATACTTGTAGATAAACGCACCCTTCGTCTTAGGATCGATAAACAAGTAAGTTATTTTACATTCATTTATTTTACACAATTTTTGGACTCAATATTTTGTTTCAGTATTTTACGCTGGAAGAGGCATCGGCTAAGTTCTCAATCCCTGTGGAAGCTATCACGGAAGAGAAAAACAAGCGCATTACTGATCTCCACAAAGGGAACAAAAAACGCCAGGCTAGCTCTATGGAAGGACCTTCTTCTAAAATATCTAAGCACTAAACGTTTTACCAAGACTATTACTTTATTTTGTTGTGTAGAACCTCACTGACATATACGATTTTATGATTATTTTTGTTCGATGTTGTTGTTTAAGTTTACTTATATTGGTTAAGATAAAAGGTTTTGATGATGTGGGTTATGTGTACAAAATGTCTGCTATGTCTCCACATGTCTTTCGGCATGCGGATTCTGGTCCAGTATTGGGAGCGGGCTGGGCCTCACTTCACCAAACCTTCCCAGTATTACCATAAAACAAAAAAGGGGGGTGGTCAGTTGAAGGAAATAATAGAAATGTATCTAAGACGTTAGATTATTGAAGTAAATAGTTTTCCACATAACCGGTTTCGGGGCTAAGAACTAGACCGGGTATGTGACTTCCTCGGTGCCCCATCTTCAGTAGTTCCCGAGGAAGTGTAAAAGTGCTAATTATGCTAAATTTCTGGTGAGGTACTGGAGCCCTACAGATCATAATTGTAAGAATGAAGTCCAAGCATAATGAAAGAGAGGAAGTCCAATGATTGAGAATGAGATGTATAATGTATCGTTTGACAGAACGTGCTCTCCCGCTCGAATTCAAAAAACTAAAGGAGAGGTTGGCCAAATTCATCCATGTGTCATGGTATCTGTTCAATTATTCTCTCAGAAAAGACCATGCAATATCTAAAATATCAAACAGAAGGTGCTTTCCAAAGTTCCCGTATGTCATGTACCAATGGAAGATGTAAAGCTACGTAAAAGCCATACTTACGTAAGATAAAAGGGTTTTCTTTAAATGTTAAACATAAAACTCGAAGTAATATGCTTTCTTCCCATCCGTTGTCTTTACTAATTTTACAGAGTTGGATAATTCTAGTTTTAAAAGCAGTGTACTCTGTACAATTCCTATAAATTCTCAGTATTTCTGATTTGAAAGTGTTGAAAATAATGTATCTAGGTACGTTTGAAGCCCACTTTGGATACCTCAAGACATCAAAATCATATGCATCTGTTTTATTATATAGACTAAGCTTTACTGAATTATCTACTATATGAACACTGAGATCCAAAAAATTAGTTTCGGTATCGCTAGCTTCGTTGGAGTTCGTTAGAAAAAAATTCGTGCCGCATAGAGTCCCTAGTCCTTTCCAAAGGGACCATGTTCGCCCTGCTCTTTTCTTTTTGGGCAAAAGTAGGGATTCCTCAGTGAGTAAAAAACCTAAAATTTCTTTCCACATCAAACTTTGTCTGTAAAACATTAGAACTTTGAAAATTTCGAAGTTCCAATGTTTTACAGACAATTGCCCATAAAGTCCCTGGTCACTTCCAAGGGGACCATGTTCGCCCGGCTCTTTTCTTTTTGGGCAAAAGTAGGAATTTCTCAGTGAAAAAAAGTGCGTGCAGCATAAAGTCTTTTGTCCCTTCCAAGGGAACCATGTTCGCCCTGCTCTTTTCTATTTGGGCAAAAATAGGGATCCCTCAGTGAAAAAAAACCTAAATTTCTTTCCACAAATTTCGAATACTATATCTGTAAAACCCTGGAACTTCGAAAATTTCGCGCCCTTAAAGTCCCTAGTCCCTTCCAAGGTGACTATGTTCACCCTGCTCTTTTCTTTTTGGGCAAAAGTGGAATTCCTCAGTGAAATAAATCCCAAACGTTATTTTTTTTGTGAGCCCTTGGAGTTCGTTAGAAAAAAAGTGCGTGCCGCATAAAGTTCCTTGTCCCTTCCAAGGAAATCATGTTCGCCCTGCTCTTTTCTATTTGGGCAAAAATAATTCCTCCCTGAAAAAAAACCTTAAATTTCTTTCGATATCAAACTTTATCTGTAAAACCTTCGAAATCGCGCTTTTAAAGTCCTTGGTCCCTTCCAAGGGGACCATGTTCGCCCTGCTCTTTTCTTTTTGGGCAAAAGTAGGAATTCCTCAGTGAGTAAAAAACCTAAAATTTCTTTCCACATCAAACTTTGTCTGTAAAACATTAGAACTTTGAAAATTTCGAAGTTCCAATGTTTTACAGACAATTGCCCATAAAGTCCCTGGTCACTTCCAAGGGGACCATGTTCGCCCGGCTCTTTTCTTTTTGGGCAAAAGTAGGAATTTCTCAGTGAAAAAAAGTGCGTGCAGCATAAAGTCTTTTGTCCCTTCCATATTTACGATTGCATGCAAATGGGTTCAGACCTCATTTGATTTTTGCAATACGGGACAATTTTGCTCGTAGTTTTTTCTCCTGCGTTACAGTTTATTTGTAAGATATTTATTAGAGCGAATTTCAGCATTTTCACGGACGTGCCAGTTCCTCATTAATGTCTCGTCGACTAATTATCCCTTAACACCCCTCAAACATCTTCAGTCGTAAACGAGCTCGATCACGACTGCCTATGGAACAGTTTCTTGCACTCGATAATGAATGTACATGCATTTCAGTACCCACCTACTTTTAGCTGCCCCAAGGAGACTCGAATTTTGACCAGGTTAAGATTTTCTGGTAGACTCCATTCTATTCTTTTGGAGCACTTCGTATTAAGCAACTTTCATTCCTGGCTTGATGGGTCCTAAATATGCCTTGCCTTCTCCACTCCAGATTTCGTTCATTCTGCTGATTCATAGTTCGGTGTGATCAGGGAAAATATGTGGACTAGCAGAGATTCAGCGATGTCATTTCTCCCCGAAGCACGAATCTAGTCAAGGTGGCTACTGTGAATTTTGGAAGACTATAAAGAAAGAGTAGCCGCACAAGTGAGAAACGGACGAGTTCTCGATAGCATCGATCGCATCACATATTTAATTCTTTTTACAGCATTTCTAGCAAGGTTATCATCTTAGTCTCTGTTTTTTCTAAGAATCCTTCGCTCCAAAAATCGAACTTTTCAATTCAAACCTATGCAGAATTGTAATGTTGTGAAGACCTGAATAGCAGCCGGTGTTCTAGAAAATTTTTTTGAGAGGAAAGGCGGCACCCATCATTCACGAGGGTTGCGGCTATACTTAATTACTACACGAATAAATTTTGGAAAGCGTTCTTCATGAAAATCGTAAAATTTTGCGCTAATTCTGAAAGTTTATGAGAGAGAAGGAGAGAGAACGTTTCCCTAAGAATTCTTAATGAGGCTATATTAATTTCTCGTAATTTCAAAAAAGTTGTCATTACTGCAAATAAAAACAAGTTAACTGTGAAATATATTAGCTCATACAGTCTACAGAATTTTTGAACGCATTCTCGAAGTGGGAGAGGGAATCACTTCACATGGCAAATCGTACTTGACTTAAATGCCGGAAACGTTTTGAGCTTACGAAAGCATAGGCTCAGCTTTCGAAAGTGAGGTGTTAAAACTCAGTGTTAATACTCATAAAAAAGTTTTTCAAAACTGAAGGCAATGCTGTACCGACACCCCTCCCCCCGAGAATGGACCGCGAAATTTTTGAAAGTTACTTTCATGAGTTATAAAAATGTACAAAGTGACTTGTTCATGCTTGTAAGAAAAAAACAAACCCTTCAAAATCTTTTAAAGATCGCCACGCCCCCTTTTTCTTAGATTTGTCGGGTTATGAGCTCGCGAAGCCTTGTGAAACATACCAAAAAATTTTCGAATTGCGTGGCTAGTGTCATGCCCTCATCAGAAAATTTTCTTGTTTTTTGCTAGTCTCTCCGCTCCCCCTCGGAACGGAAATCCCGGATACGCCACTGACTGAAAAGTATCGTAGAGGAAAAGTTCAGAAACTGTCTTATATGCACAAGACACCGTCTCATAGAAGGAAATATCACCCCATGTTTGTTCTGATCAATTAAATTAGGGCAAAGATTAATCTTAGAGTTTGCCGCAGCATCAAAATTTGTATTTGCTGCTCTCAACAATCATGAAACAACAAAGTACATCAACTGTGCTTTGTCTTCTCTAATTTATTAGTTGATTTCATTCTGCAATCACGCAAGAACGTAAATGCCGAGTTGATTTTACCAGAGCATTTTAGGAATGAAAATGCGCAATAAGCCTTTATAAAGAGAGATATGTTTCATATCGGCTTTCTACTTAGCCTTGTGTGTCAGTTCTTCCATAAACGCTTTGCCTGAGCTTTAGCAGGAAAGCATCTACGTAGCAGTTGTAATTTATGGAAATAAATGCTGTCAACACTATTTTTCTGCCTTCTTCTGACAGTGTTCGATATAGCAAATGGATTTTCACACAGATTTTCCTCAATCTATAATGCGTTGCTAATATGAAGCTCAATAATCTTTCATTTTGTAAATTCAAAGTTTTATTTTTGAAATACTTCGCCTTCAAGCAGTTTTTCAGATTCTTGAGGTGCAAGTTGTCCATACGATCGGAGAATTTCAAGCTGTTTACCCTGCTCAAATGTGCTGCTGCTCTCTATTACTGTTATCCCAATTAGCGGTGAGATTTTGTACAAGCCGTTTCGCCAGCTTTGCCCGGTGATCCTCAGCGGCCAAATGTCTTTTTACTCAAGACTTTCTTTTTTGAAGTCAGTGAAAACTTCTCAAACTTGTACCGATTATTAATCCAACTTTGTCAACGAGGAAACAGCAGATTTCCAGTCATTCCAAACAAGCTGTATATCGTCGGACTCGTCTTAAAACGCTGTTCAAATATGTCTTTTCAATCTGCCAAACGACTGTCTTGGAGGAGTTACGAGCGTTGAAATACGAGAAATTTTTCGAGTTTCGACGCATATAATTATTTTCCCTAAAAGGCAGCTTGATGGCGCGGATTCACAATGGCTATGGTTATTTCAATTGCAAGGAGGAACCACATTCAGCAAAAACCTAAATAAGGTTCAAACGTATTTCGTGAAACATGCGCCGCGGAATACTCGACAAATCGGGCATGAAACACTCATAACCCTTTCCAGATAGTTGCTTGGCTAATAATCACTTTCGCTTGGCTCACAATCATCAATCACTTCACTTTTGGCTTACCTTAAAAAGTAAGCCTTTAAATTTTAGTCAAGTTCTAGTTCAAGCATACTCTGCTATCTTGAAAACACCCAAGGGCTGAAATTTTTGATAAATTGTGGACGCCTAAAGTTCCTCGCGAGTTGATCGCTGCTGGTGACATGGCTTTAGTTACCATAACTTTGAACTTGTCTCCGTAAAGTTTGAAGTAAGAAAAATGACTTTGAAGTAGATGCGGTCGTCCGCAGGGGACGGCGACCATGCAAAGCAGGGAAAGGCTGCTTGTACGACATCTCCCTCCCATTTAGATACTTCTATAGTAATAGTAAGAACACTTGAGGATGAGTAGATAGTGTAAATCAGATGTCCAGAGCTTCAGGATATAAAGGCTTTTCCTCGAGAAGATCAGCAGCCCATGCGGCCAGATAATTTTTCGTACCCTGCTATCGATCAAATCTCATGTTCTTGGATTCAGATAAACGGTACCTACAAGCTCTTTATTGCCTTCTAAGATCGAACCAACTTCGCTAGATACTTTCTCCTCTTCCTTACTCAATGCCTTTGCCTAAGAAAATTTTTTATGATATTAAGTATGATATTGCAGATTATTGGCAGTGTTATTTATTGGCTAGCTATTTTTTGAGGTCATAAATACGTCTATTCATTGAAAAGCTTGTTTTGCCCCACAAAGTTTTTATTGCAGTACTAACAGAATGCTACAAAAGCGGAATGACATGCAGTCTCGTCGTTGTTCTTCTCAAAAGTTCACGAATGTTTTGCACACTGGATCCACCTCGTCGCGCTGAAGGACGTAACATTCTGGCCTATCGTCTGCGCAGTCGATTGTAATTTCTCCTTTGGTACATAGGTAGCATCTATTGACTTTCTGTAAAAGATTGTCATGATTTAAGTTCAATAACGTTCGAGACGTACAAAAAGTTGAGCTAGAAGAGGTTCAAAAACTTGTTTTGTCTTCGAATTGCATCAAACCAAGTAATCATGTCAAAAAGCGGTGGATACCTTGTAATACTGCAAACAACTAACCTTGTAAAGCTCTACTGCGTAGCATTCCTTGTTTGCGTAGCAGGCAGCGAAGCACTTATTCTTATCTTCAAAACCGTCTAAATAAGAATTGCCAATGTTGATTTCTTTGACTTTGTCAAAAACGCAGCATGAAAGATAGTCTACCTGAAAAAAAATTGTGGTAGGCGCTGACACTATGCAAGCAACAATGGGCTTTCTTGAGATCGAAACTTGACCTGGATGAAGAACAGGAAGAAGGCAAGCCATTTTGTCGCCATTGCAGCTGTTTGACACCGAACTGTACGGTTGAATCGTCTCAAATGCTCAGTCGCTTTGGGGTGGTCCCATAGATACCAGAAACAATAGACAATAGCAATACAAATTTGTTCCTAGGAGATTCGGTAAATATATTAAATTTTATGTAAGTCTCCTAGAAACAAATGAACAAATTTCTATTGTGTACTCGCAAATTTGACTTCCACCTTTGTTCAAATTGCAATACCATAAAGAGATTCTAGCAGATTATGCTTTGATAAGGCATATGCAAGAAGTTCAGAAGATCAAAGCATCAGAAAACCTTGTGAATCATCCCATATGGGATTTTATATCAGTATATTAGCATGCTGTCCAATTGACGTTTGTGAGGATTAGTAAATTGTGTGAATGTTCCACAAAAAAAAACAAAAATCGAAAACTACTATGGTCATCCCAAGAGCGACTAAAACGTCATATAATTGTCATTCGAGGCCTTTCCCATTTTTCACAAAATTCTGCATTTTTGTCGGATTCCAACAAGAGTTTATACAAATTGTCATTTGATAATGTGCCCACTGTTTGATTGTTAATAACTCTGTTGTCACGGACTTTTTCAAGAAGGTTTGGTGGTTCTTACAGGATGGTTCAGGATTTATAGTATGGAGCGAAATACCGACCATTCTTCATTATTGTAGGATTACGGTAGGATGTCGTAGCATATAGCGCCATTGTGAGAAAGGCAGTTCCAAAAAATTTTCAAAAAAAATCTGTAAAATTGTGTAACAAGGTTTCGCACCAAAATGTACGTCTACGCTGAAACTTCCTCTACAACCCAAACCTTTTCGGAAGACTCCATGAGAAGAGGGTTATTAACAATCAAACAGTAGGCACATTTTTCTGAAACACCCTGTGTTTACGATTTTGATGCAAATGGTTCAGACTCGGTTTGATTTTTGTATGAAGGTAAAAATCTACTCAAAGTTTTTTCTTCACGTTAAACTTTATCCATACGATAATTACCAAAGCGAACTTCAGCATTTCTACGGGCCTGTGCCATTTCCCCTTTAATGCCTCGTCGATTATCACCCCATAACATGCCTCGAACATTTTCAGTTGTAAGCCGAGCTCGATCACGACTGCTTGTGGAACACTTTCGTGCACTCGATAATGAGTGGATGTGCATTCCAGTATTCACTACTTTTAGCTACCCCATAAACTCGAGTTTTGACCAGATTGAGATTCCTGGTAAACTTCATCCTATTTCTAGGAGCACCTCGTATTGCGCAAGCTTCCTTCTTAGCTTCATGGGTCTTAAATATGCATTCTGCTGAATTCATGGTTTTGTGTAAATAGAGGAAATAGCTTGGACTAGCAGACAACAGCGATGCACATCAACATAATTAACCTCAAGTCATTTACAACTTAATGTATGAGACTGCACACTATACCCTAGTCGCGACGGCACCCATACTTGTAATTTCCCAGTAAAACATTTTCTAGTCCAACAAAGTGTGGGAATGTGTTCTACTAACTAACATGTAACCAATAAAAACACGAAAAATAAAGAAAGATGGAGAAATCCTAGGAAACGAGCATGTTCTAATCTTGCAGCTCGTTGGTTAGCATGTAGGGTGTGGACTTCGCATATTAAGTTACAAATGACTCGACGATATGTACCCAGAGCATTCTGGTCTAGTGGCTGTGGTGAGTTCTCGAAGACTGAAAGATAAATGTAGCTACGCTAGTGAGAAAAATTGAAGTTCTCGAGAGCGGAATGCACCACATTTTTTCCTTTTTGCACCTTTCCAGCAAGATGCTCCTTAACTTTGCTCTGAAATTCGGAAGTTCTTCTCTAATCCTTGACAGTATTTTTACTTCATTGAAAAACTGTATAAAAGTGGCGTTCCTAGAAATCTCTTCGTGGTTAAAGGGCGTCATTGTTTCTACAACGGATGCGGCTATATTGGGAAGGTTCTTCAGAAAAATCGTAGAATTTAGAGTTAATTTCGAGACTTTAACGAGCGGAGGAAGAGGGACAAGTACGTTTCCAAAAGAATTCTCACATAAAGTACAATTATTTCTGATAGTTTCTAAAAAGTTATGATTAAATGCAAACATAAACAAGTTAACTGTAAAACATATTAGCTCATACAGACCACAGAATTTTTGAACGCAGTTTTGAAGTGGAAGGGGGGGGGGGAGGGGGAATCACTTCCCATGGCAAATTGTACTTGACTCAACTGCTGAGAAAGTTTTGAGCTCATGGAAGCATAGGCCAACTTTCGAAAGTGAGGTGTTAATACCCATAAAAAAGTTTATCATAACTGAAGGTAGTGGCATACCAACCCCCCCCCCTTGGAAATGGACCGTGAAATTTCTTGGAGTTAATTTCATGAGTTATAAAAATGTACAAAGTGACTTGTTTATGCTTGTAAGCAAAAAATAAACCCTTCAAAATCTTTTGAAGAGCACCATGCTCCCTTTTTCTGAGATCTCCGGGTTATGAGCCCGCGTAAATATTGGGAAGTTACCAAAAAATTTTTTGGTTGCGTGGCTAACGCCACGCCTTCATCAGAAAATTTTCTTGTTTTTTTGCTAATCTCCCCCCCCCCCCCGGAACGGAAACCTGGATACGCCACTGACTGAAGGGTATCTTAGAGGAAAAGTTCAGAAACTGTCTTATATGAACAAGACACTGTCTCATGGAAGGAATGTACAATACCGCTCATAATTCGTCAAAAAAGTCGCCGGAGTGCGGCGCACTCCGCCATACTCCAGCACAGTCCGCCGGAGTGTGGCAGAGTGCGCCGGAGTGTGGCAGAGTGCGCCGGAGTGCGGCAGAGTGCGCCACACTCCGCCGCAGTGCGCCGGAATGATCGTCAATTTAGCCATATCTCGCTTCAGAATGGACGAATTCTGAATCCGAGGACACCGTTCGATTCAGCTCGACGAGACGCATCATCTTATATACGAAGCTAACGTCTGTTTGTCTGTTTGTCTGTACGTATGTTCCGAATAGAAAAATCCATTTCTGAACCGATCCGGACCAAACTTTCCACACATACACTTCGGGCCCCAGCGGGTGTCATAGGCTACTTTTCGTCATCGATCGATATCGATTTTATCGATTTTTATCGATTTTTTTGCAGAGTTCACCTACGGGGCTGGGAGTTTGCATAGTGGGGTAATCGAGCATGGGGATTCCGAATACACTACTAGTTTTAAGGATTATCGATTACTTTTATCGAATTTATCGATTTTTTTTGCAAAGTCTGAGCTACGGGGCTGGGAGTTTGCACAATCACAATGGTAATCGAGCATGGGGATTCCGAATACAATATTAGTTTTCAGATTATCGCTTATTATTTTGGTTAAATTCAGCGTGCAGATAACAGTATTACCATTGATCTGTCGCTGATGACACATAGACAGTATACTATAGAGTATGGTAGAGAGCCACTCTGATCGAATTTGTTCTAAGATCTGCTCAAGATCACAGTACCGCGCACAGAATGTCAAAATTTCCGTGAACTTCGCGGAATTCCGGGATTTCCACCAAAGTGCGCGATAATCCGGGAAGTTCGCGACGTTTCAGAATCCCCGAAACCATGCGAATCACGCAGAGTACGCAACGCCATAACATCCTTCGGAATGAATATATTCCGAATCCAGAAGCAGCATTGTTCAGATCGTCGAGGCAAATATTTTGATATGCAGTATGCTCTCGATATTCCATTTCCAATTTTTTCGAATTTCTGTGGAGGTCTTTTCGCAAGGATGTAACGCAGCGTCTGTGTAACACAAAAGATTACAGTAAGCACTGTTCGATAGTACTGTTTTTGTAGGTTATCGTGCGTTCAAGAGTAGCTGCAGACTGTCTTCCAAAAGAGATAGAAGCGTTGGTGAATTTTGGAAAAATCACGCGTTTCTAAATTCTACTCGCCGTAACTTCCTTCGGAATGAACATAGTCTGAATCCGAAGAAAGCTTTGTGCTCAGTTCATCAAGGCAAGTCTTTCGATAGACAGCATATCCTTGATATTCCGATTTCAATATTCTCAAATCTTTCTGTAGACGTCTTTTTGTGAAGGTGTAAAGCAGCGCGCATTGCTCCAAGTAGACTCCAGCACGGACCCTTCGATAGTACTTTTTCTGTAGATTATGTAGCGCTAAAAAGTAATCACAGGCATCTTTCCATAGGAGTTGGAAGGGCTGGTGAATTCTGGAAAAATCATGTCGTTCTGAATTTTTCTCAACGTAACTCTAAAATATGAAGCTCTCTTGCTAAGCAGATGTGATTTTCGTAATCAGCAGGTCGGATAACCCTTACAAGCAAGTTTTCCAAGATGTTTGAGTAATTTTATTTTTTCTCGTTTTACGCTCTGAAGCTGCCCGATGGATTTTGGTCAAAATGTTCATGCTCTTAAATTGTAAGGAAACTTCGCTTATAGAGGTTTCCGAACACGCTCTTTACGAAAATCGTGGTCTTTGAGGATTACAGGGTCTTCTTGGAGAGATACGGTGAGGTGAGTAACTGCATCACGAAAGCTTGTAACTTCGCCTCCACCTCCCACGTGTCTGTCAAAGAACCTGCCTGTTTGCTTTACTAGTCAAAGTTACTAGGAGATGTGCTATCGAATGGCGCAAGACTCAGAGTACTCTGCGTTGATACCACTGCAGTACTCTGCGTTGATACCACTGCTT